TTGCTAATGGGACCGTAGAATTCTCCAGAAGGATCTGACAGTGTTTCCTGTTTCAACAGTAAAAAACGGGTTTTAGCACGTAAAGTGACCGGATCCTCATCCTCTGAGCTTTCTCCCATCAAGAAAAGAGCAGTCCCTTAACGGATTTGGTGTGGACGGAAGGAAGGGTAAGAAAGGAACTTTGTCAGTCCATGACGTGAAACATTTTATATTAAGAGATTTGGCAAATGGTTCTGTGGGACTCCAAACAGGATGTGATAAATTTTCTACAGTCAGCTCTCCTGTACCCTTGCCTTTAGCTTTACTCACTCAGAAGTCAATTCTGTAACCTTTACAGCAACATCCTGCCAGTGATGCACAGACTTGGCTATTGTTGGCTTCAACAGCAGCTCTTCTGCATCTTCAAAGGACAGGAGGCTGGGTATTGTGAGGAACTTGTGAGCAGGAATTTGCTTGACAAAGCAATGAAAATAGAGCAACCTGAGCACCGGGGTAACTGTTCACCCATGCACTTGCTACCTGTTGTCAAGAAAGGCCATGCTGAGCAGTGGGTGAAGCAGAAGGTGACAATTCTGACCCTCAGCTCAGCCTTCTGCCTTGCTGTGGGGCTTTGGCTCACTGAGCTGGGATTCAGTTGGCTTGTTCTTACAACAGAAGTACTACCAATGTACCTGCTTGGTGAGTCAATGGCTCTAAGTCATAGAATCATAAAATAGTTAGGGTAGGAAAGGACCTTGAGATTATCCAGTTCCAACCCCCTGCCATGGGCAGGGACATCTCACACTAAGCCATGGCACCCAAGGCTCTGTCCAACCTGGCCTTGAACACTGCCAGGGATGGAGCATTCACAACCTCCCTGGGCAACCCATTCCAGTGCCTCACCACCCTCACAGGAAAGAACTTCTTCCTTATATCCGATCTAAACTTCCCCTGTTTAAGTTTGAACCCGTTACCCCTTGTCCTGTCACTGCAGTCCCTAATGAAGAGTCCCTCCCCAGCATCCCTATAGCCCCCCTTCAGATACTGGAAACTGCTCTGAGGTCTCCACGCAGCTTCTCCTCTCCAGGCTGAACAGACCCAACTTTCTCAGCCTGTCTTCATACAGGAGGTGCTCCAGCCCCTGATCATCCTCATGGCCTCCTCTGCACTTGTTCCAGCACTTCCATGTCCTTTTTATGTTGAGGGCACCAGATCTGCACACAATGCTCCAGGTGAGGTCTCAAGAGAGCAGAGTAGAGGGCCAGGATCACCTCCTTGGACCTGCTGGTCACGCTCCTTTTGATGCAACCCAGGATATGGTTGGCTTTCTGGGCTGCGAGTGCACACTGCAGCCAGCTCATGTTCATTTTCTCATCGAAGCTCCTTTTGAGTGCAAAGCTTTGAGTTCCTTCAGTATCCCCGAATATTAGCATGGAACTTTACACAGTATGGTTACAAGAAAAAAGCAACCCAAACCCCAACCCACCCACATGTGTGTTTGGCTCCAGTGTAGATTTCACGAGAGAAAGAACTATCTCATTTTCAAGGCATGAAGCTTTCATAAGTGCAGTGTCTCGGTGATCATGGGGCTAAGCTTCCAGGCAAGGATGTGACTGTGCTCCAAGGGTAGCGTGCCATCCATGACCCATTCAGTGTACCTGTACTGCTGCAGACAGCAGGCCCTGGAGATAAGGCTTTGAAGAACCATATTCTTGGTGCCTAAACAGCTCAGTTTGTCTCAGCTTCGTTACCTGAGCAGGAGAAAGCAAAATGAAAGGAGATGAAGCTGATGGTTTCAGCCCTCTCACAAGGCAGGGAGTAACATAAAGCTGGTTCACAAAGTCATCTTCTCTACTCATTTGTGCAAAGGTGGCTCCTCTCTAGGGATGTTACTGCCAGGGGTTCCAAGAACTTCAGTTCCCAGCAGCACTGATCTGGATGAGCTGGGGTCTGCTTAGGAAGACACAGAATAGAACAACAGAACCAACTAGGTTGGAAAAGACCTTTAAGATGACAGTCAGTGCAGTTAGGTGGGTTTCATGCAGAAGCATTTGTAGGGCAGAGCAGTATGACTCCGTGCTCCCAGTCCCTCAGAGAAGAAAGGTTGGGACACAGCTCCGGGAAGACCTATTTTAAATTTACTTCCTAGCCCTTAGCTCTTGTAGGCTGTTGTGTGGAGGGCACTGACCCTACAGCCACCGTGCACCTCTCCTGAGGAGGCCCCAGACATACAGCTTTACACTGCTATTTCTCTGGCTACTTTTGTACCCTTTTTAGCCTGTCCTGTGATTGTTGGCAGCTGTAAGTGACTGTAGAGCAAAGATGAACTCATGGGGCAGCTCTTTTGGGATTTCAAAAGGAACAAGACTTTTGATTAGGCCTGTAAATATACTACATTATCTTGGATGCTTTCATACTTCCCATACTTGCATAGTTTAATATATATCACTTTTACTGTGTGTTACCTCAATTGAAATGCCAATGATGACAAAACCGAAGTGGGTTTTCAGGAAAGCACTAGGGTGGGGGGGCCACCATTTGGATTCCAGCTCTGCAAGTACAATGAAGATGCTGTCACTCATTTTCTAAATAGTTTTGAAAGGAAAAGATCCCTTCTGAGCACACTGAGGGTTCTCAAGACACAAGCAGTAACCTGGCTGCTACTTCTTCGTACATTTGTATAAGCTTTATCATACAAAGAAATATCCTTCAGCAAGCGTACACTGATCAGGTATGTAATTACAGATCATTTTCTGCATTAAAGAGATGAAATGTTAAAGGTTAGAAACCAGAATCTTATTTTGAAGTTCCATACCCATTTTCCTTGCCTTCCCTGGCAGTTGATACTTACGAGATTTATTTAAGTAAGGAATGAACCAAACCAAAACCCACTAAGTCTTTGTGGGGTTAGAAAGGTAGATACCCTTATTTCAAGTCTGTCTGTATTTATTTTCTTAGGAGGATTCAGAAATGAACCCCAGTACTTTGGAAGTGCCACAGTTCATAGCAGACACTTACCACTGCTTAGTTATAAGTTATTTTGACTAAACCACGAAACATCTGTGGCGGGGAGAAGGAAAATTGAATGTTGCCAAAGAAAGTTGTATCTAATGTATCAAACAAGTGATTTTAGTAGTTTCTGCTTTAATTTCTGATTTAAGAGGCCGTAGTGCAGCTATTGGGGGAAAAAAGAGAGTAAGCAGGTACTGGCTTAGCCTCTTCGTGCCCGCATTGCTACTGTTGGTTTATCTGATTGCAAACCTAGTGTGCTGTAGCATGATGAACATGTAGCAGTAAGCGTATGGGAAAGATGCTGGAAAGATTGCACCCTGATGTTCCTAATCAGTAATTAGAAACTAAAAATAGCATTTTAGGGAAGGATAATAAATCCGTAGCCTTTAATCCTCCTGTGCCAATCTGTAAGCTGATATCATTATTACATGAAAGGCAATAAGAACATAAGTGAGTAAGCAAAAGTAGGTTGCTATTACAGTCACATTATAAATTCCACACAGCCCAAGCCGTCTCGATGATGTTTAGTGCTGTCTGCTTTATGCAAAGCCTATAGTCATAAAGCAGGTTAATTTGCAAGCAGGGAACACATAGTTTTGTTGTTTACTTCCATTCCTAACTGCCCTTTTACTTCCTGAAGCGCTCCGGAGTGAGGTTCTGAGCCTGCTGTGCCTGCGAGTTGCAAGGAGGAGTGCACGTTGGAGAAAATGGCAGCAAGAACACAACCGGAGGAGGGGGGGGATTTGTTCCCATGACGGCAGCTCTGACGCACCAACGGGCTCAATCACCAGGCACACATCTTCTCGAGCTGCACTGATGACAGAGGCAGCATCCCCGCTTAAGCAGGGCCCTTCGGCTAAGCATTTAAATAGTCTGCAAACGCTAAGATGTAGTTATTGTCACAGAGGTACCGGCGCAGCTAATCCCAGTGGGGTGATGTAGTGGAATCAGGCCATGGACCTCACCCCATCCAACTGGGAAACCTCAAAGACCGTCAGAGAGTGACCCCATACCAAAATAGATGTGATTTCATAGAGCAGTCCTCCTCCCATTCACAGCTATGTCATATCCCTGTGACAACTGCAGCAATTCTTTAAATGGAAAAGCAACCCAAAGTATTTAAAATAGTGCAAACTCTCCTAACGCAATCCCATGTCTGGAAAAAGGAACCAATGCGAAGGGAGCTGTTGGTAACCGGGGGGCTGCCCCAGGCCCGTTGAGCAAGAAATGTAATACAAAAGTGAGATCTGTTGTAAGCCGAAGATGGTGGGGAATAGATCTGAAAGAAGAATGTCTATTTACCAAGCACTTCTGCATTGAAGCAGCTTTATCGCAGCAGTTTATCACTCGCTATCTTGCAGAAATGGGGGAAAGCGAGCGCCAGATAAAATTACTGCAAGTTGCCAGGGAACATGCTGTCATGGCTTAGCATGACTGCAACGCAGAGGTGATTAAGAACGGAGGAAAAGGCAGCTGCCCACGGCAGGGGGGTGTGTGTGGAACTATAGGATCCTTAAGGTCCCTTCCGACCCAAACCGCTCTATGACTCCACGAAGTACTGAACCCTACTGCGAAGAGGCCGTGTGGGCACCGTTCAGGCAGCACTGCCCTCTCCCCGAGCTCAGTTTAGCGGCTCCCGGGGGCAATCCAACCTCTCCAAACGCTTCACTGAGCGGAGGAGGACGAGGAGTGGTGAGGCAGCAGGGGCAGGAGGGACTCCTCACCTCCTCGTCCTCCTCCGGCTCCCCGCTGCCCCGTGGAGCCGCTGTGCCTCGCTCCTCGCCTTAACTCGCTCGGCGCGGCCCCGGTTCCCCCGCCACCACCTCCCCTTCAGCGGGTGAAGAGCGGGCCCACAGCGGAGGAGCCGTCCTTGCCTCCCGTGGCCGCTTCTCCCGGCGGGGCCGCCCCCGGCAGGTGGACGCCACCGCCCCTCCTCCGGCCCGTCCCGTCCCGTCCCCTGCCCGGCTCCGCGCCGCCTCTTTCCACCGCCCCGCTCCGCTCCGCTCCCAGCTGACGGGGGCAGCCCCTTGTTTACTGGCCGGAGAGGCAGCCGCCAGCCCGGCCTGCGCTGGAAGGGGCCGCTGGAGCCGGGGCTGACACAGAGGGGCAGGGAGGGGCCCGGGCGCTATAAAGGGGGGGGCGCGGAGCCTCACCCCAGTCTTTTACCGACGATGCGAAGCCGGGCCCGGCCCCCGCGCCCGCCCCGCGGCCTCTGATTCGCCCCCGCCGGGACGCGCCGAGCCGCGGCGGCTGCAGCAGCAGCGACGCGGGCATGGGACCGAGAGCGGCGGCGGCGGTGCTGGCCGTGGCCGTGGTGCTGGCGGCCTGGTGCGGCCGGAGCCGTGGCGAGAGTGAGTAGGGGCCTGGGGGCGCGGCCTAGGCTGGGCGGCGGGGCCCGGGCGGGCGGCTGGGCCGCGGCCCCGCGGCGGGAGGGGGTGAGGCGGCCGGGAGGCGCGGAGCGGCCCGGCCCCGCCGCGGTTACCCTTTGTACCTGCCCGGGGCGCGGCGGCGGCTGCGCCAGGCCTCGCCGCGGGGTCGGTGGCTGAGGCGGCTCGGCCGGGGCCTGCGGCGCGGGGCCCGCAGCCCTTCCCGCGGGGAGCGGCTCGGGTCACCTTCACCCCCGGGTCCGGTGTGCGCGGCCCCGAACCGCTGCGGGGTAGAGCGGGGGGGTCTCGGCGGCGGCCGGGGTTGGAGCCGGGACGGTACCGGGAAGGGCTGGAGCTGTCCCCGGTTCACCTCGGGATTCAGTCGTCGGCGCCTTCGGAGCCGCCCAGTCTCTCGCTGTCCCCGAGCCGGCGGGAATCCGGTGCGAAGGGGTCCCGTCCCCTCCCTGGTTTGCAGCCGGACCGGGCTGAGCTGTACCCGCGCCCGGCTGCGGTCCTGGGGGGGTTTGGTGTGGTGAGGCGTGAGCCGGGAGGTTTTGCCTTTATAACCACAGGGCTGGTTTTCGGTACCCTTCAGCTCCACGGGTATTAAAGGGAGACGAAGCTCGGGGTAGGGATCGGTGTTCAAACAGGGTGTTGTCGCACACAGGGTAGGGATGTAAAGATGCTGTATCGGAGGTCCCAAGCCTGTTAAATCCACACGAGTGGACACAAGTTTAAGCCTCATAAAGCTGTTTTGGTGGGTTACGGTAACTAAACTTGCTCAGGGAATTCTTCTGGTTACAGGCTTTAATTTTGGATGAATTTGGCAGATGTTTTTAAATAAAGGTGAAGTATTTAAGAGAGCTGACTGGCTACACTATTTGTCTCTCCCATAGACAATCCCATGGTCTACCTGTTAGCTTCCCATTGGAAGAGGCAATAGCAAGAGAAAAGGTTCAAGTGCGGATGATGCTTTGATGGGTGTTTTTGAGACACGTGTCATGTTCAAGGGATAAAGCAGGTTGTACCCTTAAGACAGCTTCTTTTTAACAGCAATTGAACAAGTTCTGTATTTCCAAAACACCCCAGATCTTCATGTGTTTTATGGTTGAAGCCTTAAAAAGAGGCCAGTGGGATGGTTTAAACTCGGGAGGGAAGGTCCAGCTGGCGATCATGTACAAACCTGCCCCTTACCAGTAGAGAAATGGGAGAGGTAGTTGACATTCAGCACTAATAATAAATACATGCACAACTCCAACAGTTCCTAATTGGAAAGCGTTATTGTTACTACCTCAGCCAAGCATCTTATTTATCTATTTACATCATATTTATATCAGCATGCTTTTGGGTTGTAAATGTGTTGATGATCTTAACTCCCTAATCTTTGCTGTATTACTGAGCAGTAGGAAAATACACTGCAATTCATGGATGGAGAAACGGGAGCGAGATACGAGATTTTCAAGTCTGGGGTAGGTTGTTTTTGTATCACTCATGCAGGGCAAATAAGTTGTCAAGTATTTTGCAGACTGTTTGGTCAGTGAGGTCTGTAATTCAGAAGGTTTGGGGGTTTGGCTCCGTGTCCTGAGAACGATTGGATCACAGTGCAGAAAACACGATGCTAACAGGGAGGCCTGTGGCAGCATGGCTCGGGGGTGAATGCACCTACAGGAGTTGCATAAGCAAACAAGTTGTTCTCTGAGCAACAGAACTGATGAAGTCTGCTTTCTTGGAGGTTTGTGTCCTGTGTTCTCCACAGACATGCCCCATGACAGCACGGCTCTTCAGTGACAGCATCCTCCCTCCCTCAGTGCAGCCACATGGAGGTTTTCTTGTGCCTTGTGTCATTCTCTTCCCTTTGTTCCTTTTAGACAGCATCAGGTAAGAAGCTGGGGGAAGGCAGCATGTGGTGTGCGTGTGTGTAGGTGGTTCTGGAGGCAGACTGGGTGGGTGGTTTGAATTCACGCTTGAAGCATCCTTTGGATGGAGGCGCTGAGTTTTCCCTTCCTAATCCATCCCCAGTTTCCCTAAGCCTTTTGAAACCTGATACGTGAGAATTCGCTTCCTCTTTTAAGTGTGACTGGAGTTAATTGGTGAGTTCAGAAGTTACCAAGAGGAGTAGAAGCAGGGGTTAAGGAGAGGAGACCTGACCTGCACATAAAATCAAGACCCAGATATCTTGTTCTGTGACCAAAAACAGGCTTGTGTGGGGTTTTTTCTCACTCTGTGTAAACATAATGCAACTTCTTGACATAAATCTCACACATGACTCGTGCACGTCAGTTTGCTCTCTGTGGTATTTAGGGTGGGATTTACCTCACCTAGTTTTAGGCATCTACCAGCTGAGCAACTTACTTTGGGCTCCTTTAGTGATTAGTAGAGAACTAATCGATGCAGTCGCTAGAATTTAGAGTACACTTCCTCCCCTTCTACACTTACCAAGGTTCGGGTGCTGCGCATGTACTGCTGATGGTGGGAGTTAAAAATCTAGCTGAGCCCTCTCTACCTAAATCATCAGGTGGGACAAATTTCACTTTGTATTTCTGTAATAATAGCCTTTTAAGATAATTGACTTTGTAATTATTCTTTCTGGCTCATACAGCTCTTTTTTTTTATGCTCATAAACGCCTTAAGAAACTGGTCCCTTGTTCCACCTCAACCCTGTGTTAATGTTTGATGTTGAGAGAGTTGATGTAGAAAGAAATTTTGCTCCCAAGAGGATAAAGTAGGAAGAGTAAGTGCAGCAGGTCAGGGCTCTATCAAAACTAGGCAACAACTGTGTCCATGGGCTGCCCTGATGTGCCCTCTGGCTATTTTAGACAGAGGTAGCACACCAACTGCCTCTCTGAACACTCTGTAAACCCCATAAGCTTTCTGGAGGTCAATTTTGGGGTGACTGTCAATATTGGTGATGTGTAAAACCTGTTCCTACTCCCTCTGAAGTAATGTTAAGGTCTGGCAGCCCTGACTCCTGCCTGTTGCCCTGAGTGATCTCCTGTGGTCCTGGGATGCTGTTGCTTCACTGCCCCTATCTTTGCATGGGAAGCACAGCAGTAGGAGCCATGCTCTGTTTATGTTTTGGATTGAGTGAGGAGGATGTAGTGATACCACAAACCAGGCCAGACCTTGAGGTTATGGGGGCTCTTAGCATTGAAGACTGCCACCTCCACGAGAGGTTCAGCAGCTCTGTTTTCTGAGACGTGGTTAGAGGGGGCTGGAGGTTTAGTCAGGCTCACTTTGGAGCCCTTGTCTCAATCTGCTTCATTGGCTCAGATCTAAGTGGCTGAGATGGAAAACGGGAGTTTAAAGATTAATATTTGATAATTAGGTATTTTTGTGTTCATTCATTAGTGTGGTAGACTGGAAGCTGTCTTACAGTACCTTTTACTAAGGGAGTAGTAACCTTTAACCTGCCACTTAGATGCTGAGACAGGAAAACATCCTGTTATTCTAAGAAACACCCGAAAGCCCTTTTTCCAATTTCCTAATACCACTTCTAAAAGTCAGCCTTATAGAGAATTGCAAAGCTGTTCACTTGACCAAAGGGAGTGTGATTCTTTCTTAGATAACTTGTTTACTCAAGTAGGCAACGGATGCTATAAAAATGCAGAATTAACCAGTAGTTCTCTTGAATGGTTTGTGATCTTCCTGCACAGTGCTGCAGTATTCTCATCTTGACTGTTAAAGGGCTGGAGCTCTGAAGCAGTGAATCATTAAGGTTTGGTATCCACATGGTTTACTATAAACAAGGCTTAGGTTCCAGCTATTCCCCTGGTGTTAGCCTTTATCTTGAAAACTAACCTCTGGCATCAGATCTAGTTTGTTCATTCAGGACTTGAAGGTTGTTACCAAACCAGTTTGTTCAAGAGGCTTTGGCAGCTTTGCAGTTGGTTGGTTGCTTGTCTTTCAAAAGCACGCCTGGCAACTTTTTTTTTTCCTTGGGGGTCTGATGAAACATGTCTGTGATGATTGTGTTTTTTAGGTTACTTTGAATAGCTGGGTAACTTCGGGGTGGAGGAGTGTTTCCCCTGGCACTGTGCTGCTGGATGCAGAGCCTGTTTCTGCTCACATTTAGGAATTTATGATTAGTAGAGGTTGTGCCAGGAGTCTGAACAGGAGTGGCTTTGGGCCTACTACTGTGGAAGCAATTTGAGCTTTTTTCTTTTCCTGAAAGCTGATTTATGTGGGTTTTTTGAAACCAGGTTGTCTATATTATAATTGATGGCTCAGCTTTGCTCGCCTGCTCCTGGGATCAAACCTGCCTGGCCTTCCTACTGAAGCGTTCATTAATTCCCCCGTCCCTGCAGAAGAAATACAATTGAGAGGAGCTGTGGAAAAATGCTTATTACTTTGCTTAAAACTGCTTCTTGTTGTCTTGGTAACAATAAATGTATGGGGTGACTTAAGCAGCTACTGCATGACAGAAGATACCAAACTGCAGTTCAAAAGCATGAAAAGATTGAGAACCTTCCAGCAAAAAAACCCCCATATTTTGGTTTGGCTATTCTTAACCCCTTATTTTCCTTCTTGGTCCTTGAGGTGGTATAAAAAAGAAGGAGCTCAGATCCTGTGGTATTTATCACTTAAAAACTAGACTGAAGTAGAACATTAAAAATAGTTCTTAACTATTAGTTTTTTTGTCTAAAAGCTTGTAGGTTTACAATGACATTAGCCTTTTGTTCAGTTGGTTTATTTCAGAAACAATCCTGATTTGAGTTCCTCCTAAGTTTCTACAGCAGCAAACATCAGCATTTGACACTGCCTTCCATGAAAAGGATTTGTGCAGAAGCCCACAAGTAGTGGAACCCCTTAAGCACAGCAGCAACGTGCCAGTTTATTACATCCCTGTTGCTCAGTTTTAAACCAGAATAACTCTGGTCACATCCTGGTTTGCCGGGATGTGTGGAATCTCCTATCTGGTCTGTGCTGGCACCACTAGTTACAAATAATGTGTTGTGTATCGGAGTGTAGAACTGATGAAACCCACAAAAATAGTTCTAAAAGGCAAACAACTGATGGATTGATTTGCAAAATATGCAAAAATGGTGCAAAAACTGCAAACAATTGATGGTCGATGTTCCAGGTGCAGTTAAGAAATGCAATAAGGCTTGATTATTGAAATGTACCAAATAAAGGGTTTATTTCCTAATAATAAATACATAATAATGCGGCTGCCCCATCCCTGGCAGTGCCCAAGTCCAAGTTGGATGGGGCTTGGAGCAACCTGCTCTAGTGGAAGGTGTCCCTGCCAGTGCAGGGGGTTGGACTTGGATGAGCTTTAAGATCCCTTCCCACCCAAACCAGGCTGGGATTCTATGATCCTCAGGCAGTTTTCTGGCTGTTTGGACCAGGAGCAGCACTACTTGTGTTAGTAGTGATCTCTAGAAGCCTGCAGGGATATGAGTCAGACTCACAAGCAGCGTAATTTTGACTTATTTCGAGTATATAGGGAGGTGGTGAGTGCTGTGAGCTCTGGGAGTGTGGAGGATCAGCCTGTTGCTAGAAAGAAGCAGAGAATACTCTCTGTGACACCTTGCTGGATGCATATCCATTCCTTGGCCAGAGAGCATCACACTTCCTTGGTGCTTGGCACCCAACTGTCTGATACATGGTGTGGGGCTGACGCAGCAGCTGACCCCTTGGGATGGTGCCTTCAGACTGGGTTCCTCAGCTTTGTGATGGGATGACAGCAGGACGCTCGTAGCCTGAAATGCAGATGCAGAATTGGAGGACTTGTACCAAACTGCTGTTCTTTCCATACAGACTGAAGGGTTTTGCTGTCTTCTCCTTCCGTGGAGCTGAGCAGGGATGAAGGGGTTGTCTGGGGACGAGCTTGTGGCCCATTTCTAGAGACTTACCTAATTCCAGTCGAAATGATGAAAGACTGAGGTAATCATGCTTAGTGTATATATGCATTTTGTGGCCTTGAGCCACAATAAAAGTGTCAAGCTTTTACTCTTGGAAGTAATTCTTAGCCTGTAGAGTTGAGCTGTATTTTTTGACCTTTCTTTTTCCTTAAAGGCAGGTGTATTCATTCAGTTTACTCTGGGTAGTACATCATGCCGTGATACAGCAACTGGGCATGGGTACCACCTCAGCATGCTGTGTTTTACCTTGTCTGCTCAGCAAGCAGTAAGTAAGAACCACAATGTTGGATTTTGGATTTATCAGATCGTTTTAGCTGCACTGGTGACTTGTACATCAAATTTCAGTGTCTGACTTTTGTTTGTCCTCTCATTGTTTCTCCTTCCCTGAAGAAACCACTGGCCTGCCCTGTCACACGCTTGTTTTTCTTGGAAATAGCTATGTTAGTGATTTAAATTCAATATTTGGAGTACTTTTAACTGAATCTGTTGCTCTCCCGGTTCTTTTTAGCCCATGGGATGTGCAGCAAGACAACTTCCTGGCTTACTTCCAGTTTGGCTGCAGTTTTTCATGGGGCAAATAAGTTGCTGCAGGCTGGTCGTCAGGTTTCCTTTCCCACTTGTAAAAAGTACATCTTTGATGTTGGAGGCTCTGTGTTTGTTACTTGCTTCTTTCAGAAAGCAGTTTAGGAAACAACCTGGGTATAGTACCAAAAAATCCCATTGGGCAATAACACTGCTTCAAATCCTGTATTATTTTATTGCACTGGAGCAAATGTTTGAAGGATCATGAAGATATTTGCATCGAATTCATTGTTAACCCTTACAGCAGTGGGCTGTATAAAGCCATGAGGAGTCAAGCATGGATATTAAACATCAGTCTCCCAAATCAGTGTTGTAAAGCCTGGTTGTTGCTGGGTGATTTCTTGAAGCTGTGATGGTTTTATAGGTGGTGAGCCTGACATGCAGTGACAAAAAGAGTAAAGATATTGTGCTTTTAATTCTTAAGGGGTCAGGGGGACGGGGCTTTTCACTATAGACAAAAGAGAGAATTGCTTATGTGGACTATGCTATGCCGGAATGGGGCTAGAAACTTCCTTCTTCATTTCTTACCTGTGCTTAGAGTTAAAAAACATTTTCCTGTTCAAATCTTCCTTCCCATCTTTTCCTTTTGCTGGTACCTGGACTCCTGTTGTTCTGTTTCCCTTCTAATTTATGCTTCATGTATTTGTTCACTTTGCCAGTTCTTTGGGCTACTGATTCTACTAAATAAACTATCCGGATAGCCAAGGCAGGGAGATTTGCAACCCTGAGAAAACAACAACAAAAAAGCCCAAACACTGAAAGGAATGCTTGGAACAAAAATTCCTGGTGTAGTAAATGACTCCTGTCAGCAAAGTCTGGGCAAGCGTGTGAGCTGTAGCCTTGCATGTGTGTATCTCCAGGTTTTCCTGCTCTCTTCTGCACCACCATTTCCTAGCCATTATGCTTTTCCTATCTTCTCCTCCCTGGAACCATTGTAAATCACTCGCTCTAATCCACTGGCATTAATTGCACAATCTGAGATGAGGTAGGTGTGTCACTGGCAACTATCTAAAGAAAACAGACTCAGTTGCATAGACATCTCTTACTTTGGTAAGTGCCAGATGACATCTGAGGACTGGTGTTACAAGTGCAGTCGTGATAGAAGTGATATACTCAAGATGGCAGAAAAAGTTATGAAATACTTTCATTCTTATTTTGTAATCATATACCAGGGGATGTTCCTTGCAGTTTATTTCTTAACACTTAAAGCTTTACTGAAAAGCATCTGACCGCATATTATAAGTGTAGCCGTACATTGTGATGTGGTTGGATAAAACTCTGTGTTCAGAAAGCTGAAACAATTACCTTTTATGAAGGCATAAATGACATTGTTCTTTGCCTCCCAGTTTGCAGAAGCATGGACATCCGCAACAATCTGACCCGGCTGAACATGCTCGAGAACTGCACCGTCATCGAGGGCCACTTGCAAATCTTGCTGATGTTTAAAACCAAGCCTGAAGATTTCCGTGAGCTCAGCTTCCCTAAACTCACTATGATTACAGACTACTTGCTTCTCTTTCGTGTGTACGGTCTGGAGAGTTTAAAGGGACTTTTCCCCAACCTCACTGTGATTCGAGGAACTCACCTGTTCTTTAACTATGCGCTGGTCATTTTTGAGATGGTTCATCTGAAGGAGATCGGCCTCTACAACCTGATGAACATCACTCGAGGCGCTGTGCGGATCGAGAAGAACAACGAGCTATGTTACTTGTCCACAATTGACTGGTCGAGGATTTTGGATTCTGTAGAAGATAATTACATCGTGGCCAACAAGGACGACAAAGAGGAGTGTGGAGATGTGTGTCCCGGCACTGTGAAAGGGAAGAGCAACTGTCCTCCTACTGTGATAAACGGCATCTTCATTGAACGCTGCTGGACGCACGATCGCTGTCAGAGAGGTGAGTCTGCAGAGTGATGTACATCAACTATGGGTTTGCTGTCACTTTTTAACCTGTCTGGTCTATTGGAGAGCTATTAGGTACCTGTTAATTGCTGCCTTTAAGCACAGGTTCCTCAAAGCAAGGCTGAAAATTGATGTTAAACAGGGGAAGAGAAAACATTTGGGATGGGGCTGTTTCAGCAGTTCTTTCACCTGTGTAAATGAAGCATCCAAAAAGGTTGTGTTTGGTTCCTCTGGAAAGGCAGGGACTGCCTAGAGCTCCCAAGTTAAACAGGCTGTGAGTGTGACTGGTATCTTGTGCAGTAATTAGTGGTATTTGTATCTCTGCTGGGGTTTGGGTAGGGGATTAAATAAATGTCCCAATTGACTGAAAGGCTGCAGCAGGCGGATACAGAACAGTGGGGAAAAGTCTTTGTGGAATAAACCCAACTCTAGAGAGGTGCAATTACGTCTTTACAGAAACCTTCCTGCCATATCAAAGTGTAAGACAGCGGATGAGTGAGCAGCGTTTGCGCAAAGGAAGATGCTGGAAGCCAAGTCAGACCTGAAGGGAGAAGGGCAAGAAGGAGAGAGGACCTGGGTGGGAGTTGCCTACAGGCAGGAGCCCTGGGGGGGGATGAAATAACTGGGGTTTTGGTTCAGGGGAAAAGCTGTGTTCAGAAGGCAAACTGCTGTTGTAACCCCTGAGCTCCAGTTCTTCAACTGTATTAGGGTTGCTTTTAATTTCATACAGATTTGTTTTTTTCCAGACTTGGAGCTGACCTTAATTTTAGTTTTAATTATATATTTACTTTGACTTATGTTAAATCTGACTTGACAGGGAGCAAAGTGAATTGAGGTAAAACTGACACGTTTAGAATCGTCTGTCTTTCTGGAGGTAGAGCATCCGAATGAAGCAGTGTGTCCTAAGACAAAATTAGGAAACTTGTGGGCTGGAGAGAATTTCTTGCCAAGCTTTAAAGGGCAACTCTGAGTGCTAAGTGCCAAATTTGAGAAGGAATTCCTACCAGTATGCATAAACTAATGAAATTAATGTGGTTTCCCCTCTGCTACTCCTCACCCCAGAATTGTCTGGCTTCCTTTTAAAGAAAGTGGTCATTTTTTGTTGCCAGAATAACAGGGTATGAGCAAGAAGATGCAAGCATTTGTGTGTGTGCCTTTTCTTAAATGAAAAGCAAGGTTATAAAGCATTTTAGTTCGTAAACTCTTTTGGCATACAATTATCAGTGCCAAAACCTGGTTTCTTATGTATTCATGTTTTCTGTTTTCAGCTTTTTCATAAGGTTAAACTGAGGCTTTTTCAGTGGCTAGACCACTCATAATGTCCCTCATTCCTGTGAATTTTGTGGGGCTGCGTTGCAGCAGACTGGAATGTATGGTTTCTCTCCTTTACATGACTGTCTATTTGCATGAAACATGTAGGAATGTAAGATTTTAACCATTGGGGCAGAAATGTCGGCTCCCGAGCCTCTTGTACAAATGCAGTTAAATTTCTTGGAGGAAACCTGTACAGTATCACACCCCATCTTAGCTCAGATGCCTAAGGAAGCCAGCCTAGTAAGTGTGTTGGACTTGAATTTGAAATTGAAATTTGAATGGGAAAATGGTTTCAAAAGTAACTGTATGCAGATGCTCCCATCTGGTTTTTCTGAGGTCCTTGTAGAAGACAACCTGCTCTGGTGGAAGGTGTCCCTGCCCATAACAGGGGGTTGGAACTGGATGAGCTTGAAGGTTCTTTCCAACACAAACCATTCTGTGATTTAGAGAAGCAATGCTCGTACGTACTTCGGCTGTAACTGGTGTGCACTTTCCAAACCACTTCACAAGCCACGCTTATCTTTGTTTTGAATGCAGAGATTTGTACTTTTATTTCTTGGTAGCTGGTGCTCTCAACAAGCTGGTATCTGTCTTACATTGTGCCTTGAAACACCTGCCTGTGTGCTTAAAATGACTTTAGAACAGCTTGAGTCGTTTTTTAGACTGTGAGTAGCCTTTAGAGTTCCAGCAGATGAAGTGACATTTATTTAGAGAACCTGTTGGTGGAATCGCTGTGTTCTCTGTTCCTGTGCCAGCCTTAATGTATCCTTAGCATAATTGTTTTGTTGAGATTATTAAGGGCTTGTGTGAGTTGTACTTTGGTTTTCCTTAGTCGCAAGAGGCTCATAGCAGCTCCCAGGACTGAGGGTGTTAATGTCTTGAAGTCTTTCCCTCTGCATTTTTCTGCAGCTTCTTCTGCTTATCTGGGCCTCTTCAGCAGCTGATGCTGTGCTCAAGTCTCCCATCTTTCTGGTTTTAGGTGTCTTCTCCTTTTTTATTGTTGCTTTTTGTCTTTTAACCAATGCTGGAATGAGATGTAGCAATTGCAGTCTGATTTTTGTGGGGGAAGTTTGGGGTTGTGTGTTGCCAGTTTTACTGCAGGTTATTTGTACCTCTGGTTTGTTTCAGAGAACTTTGGGGTAGGCTCTCCCATTTGCTGTTTTTCTGTTTTCCACCTCTGGATGGGAAGCTGATGCTGTCTCACCAGAGAGCACTGCTGGCCTTGTGTGAATGGGAAGGGATACGGCAACAGCTGGGCTTGGAGTGTGGTCCTGGGTGTCCCCTATCTCTTCCACACCATTCCCTGACCTTGCCTGCTCTCTGTGGTCTCTCCTTTCACATTATCCCTGCCACATCTCATATTGATCATGCACCTTTGATATGTCTTTATTTTAATCAGCACAGATATCTCTGTTAACTCCAAAACTAACTTTCAGTTATATAGCATATAATTATCTCTAAGGCACACGTCCAAGGCTCTGAATCATCCTTGCAGCCTTAACTCTAGCCCAGAAATTCTTTCAGTTGGTGATAACGTGTTCAAGACAACAAAGTAAAGGATCTTCTTACAGATGTTGGAGTTAAGGTCGTGGATGAAACCGGTTGGAAGGAGCTGAACTGATTTGTGGGCAGCTGCATGCTTTGAAAACACACTCAATATTGTGTGAGTGCAGAGCTCTGTAGGTGGACGCACCAGAGGCTGAGCTTGGTCAGGATGCTTCCTGAAAGGTTTCTTTGCTAAATCACTTACGTTGGTGTGAAAAGCAAGTCAGTTCAATTAAGGCCAACTCATGGTATATTTTGGGTAGGAAGGGAGGGAAGTCTGTTTGGAATTTGGGTTTAGCTGGTTTTTATGGCAGCCGGGTGCTGTTCCTGTTCTGGAGGGTTTATACCTTTTCAGCCCACGTTTTTGAGATGTGCTGGGTTTTTTTTTACATGCATCCTTGTCTTGCTGAGAAAACGTCGTTCTCCGAGAGCAGCGTCTTCCCGCAGAGCGGCTGCGCTGGAGAATGCAGGCAGCAGAAATGCTGGGAGTGCCACGTCCGAGCCCTCAGTCTGGATCTGCCAAACGTGATTTTCATCTTCTGCATTTTTTTCCACTCTTTTTTTTTTTTTTTGAATGTAATAAAAATGCGGGTTTGTCACAGCACTTGCGGAAGGAGCAATTCCCTCTGAACCAGGAGTTCCTGCCTGTTCTTTCTGCAGTCAGTCCTCCCTGTCCATATATGATTTGAAGCAGTCTGATGTTTTTGACAGTCTAATTATAAAGGCAGGTTCAGCCTTTAACTTGCAGATTAATTCATCTGGAGGTGGAGAAAGTTAATAGGAAGGAAAAGTGGAATGCCTAAATCAGAATGATCAGGAAAATGAGCTGCAGCATCAGGCAGTCCCTTGGTAGTGTTAAAGGGCTGCATTCCTGGAAAATAAGGATGGATATCTGAAATATAGGCTTTGTTCCTTAGAGGATATGATGAAATTACAGTTCTCCTTTTCATCCTGAATGAAACCTTTGTAGGAATCGGTTATCTTCTTGATCTTGGGACTTCACGCAGCCAGGAAATTTGGGTTATTAAGAATGTGGGCCATTTCAGGCTTGTCCATAGACTCCTTCTTTAATCTATTATCTTGCTTTATGTGGTAGAACCAAAAGTTGTATCTCTTAATTAGTGCAATCTACACTTGGTTGCATGGAAAGAAAGTGGAAAGTATATGAAACCATTTAAGTCAATTGAAGACAATGGTATGACAGAGCTGATAGAAGGGGTGGCAGCCTGGAGTAACTGATGTGCAAAGGAGCTGCTAAAGAAAGGTTCTGTATGGGAATAAGGATGCTTGTCCAGGCTTTTTTGTGACGTTGGGGAAGCAGGTCTGGGGACTGGGGCTGCCACAGAATCTCTCCTTTAATTTTCCTGTGGTTGATCCAGAGAAAATTCTGGGACCGGTATGGAACTAAGAGTAGCTCTAGGACCTTTCTTTGTTTCCTAGTGCAAGCAACACAACAAAGCATTCAGAAATGTCTCTCAACAAAACCCAAAATACCTTTCAACTCCTGTGAAAGAGCACCAAGTGCTTTTAAAGAGATGGGTGCCAGAAGAAATTCTGCAACTCTGAACATCTCCAGGGCAGGTTTGAATAACAAAATGTAGAGGTGTGTGTGGGAAACATTTTGTGATGTTTACTTAGGTAGAAATATTACTTAGCAACAGCTTCCTGTGATTTTTATGTGCTGGGAATTTCTGTCACCGTGAGCTTAGTTTTATTACCTTCGCATGGGAAAGGGGTCTTGAAGCACTCTACAGACTTCACCAGCCTCAAGGGCAAGATATTTTTAAAGCTTCCAACACAAAAGAAATGTTTCCAGTTGCTACCACATGAAGTGGAAATGCTCCTTTTCTTTGGCGATCTGATAAGAGCTGCCTTTTTTCTTTTCCTACCTCTGACAAATGCCAGATGGAAGTTGACACCCGATAATCTCACTGGGGCGTCTGCTCTGAACCTTGCCAAGGGACAGCTTTATTGAGTGCGTGTAGTGCTTGTGGTTGGGGCTATTGTGATGCTCGAGACATCCTAAACTAATTCACTTGAGCTTATTAGGGGTAGTTAAGAGATTTATGGTGCTTGGTCAGACACAGCCCGGAATTGGGGGAAAAGAGGTGGATGGATCCCTCCATACAAGTGGCT